GTTGATATTTATAACCGGAGATACCCGCTATGTGAGTTTCACCTGTGTCAGTATCTATTTGGCTTCTCTTTGATGTATGCAAATCGATTGTTTACCTGCAGGATAAAATTGAGGTCGAATCATTTCTATACCACGTGATCAAAGCATCCGGGCGTTTGTAAGATAATGGCTATCACGTGAGCAACAAGTCACGTTAAAGGGAGGCATGAGACATCAATGATCACGTGTCTGCTGTGCTGCGTCATAATCCATCTTTTTTAACTGGATACATGATCATCATTACATCAGTAATTTTACATTCGATCTCTCGTATATCTTTGAATAACCAATCACATATCGATTTATTGAAGAAAATTTTGATTTCGGAAAGGCATTTGGTTTGCTATTAGCGCTGATACAAACATGAGACAGTGAAAGATGGAAGAAACACCACCGAACTTCAATGACACGTGATCGAATTTCGCACGTGGTTTCAGCAGACACAAAGGTTATAAATTATTTACAAAAATCAGCATAGTTATACACTGTTTGTATGGAACTATATATATACTTCGCTAATCAGCAACATCTCACCAGAACAGATCAGCTTTCAAAATGCCGACTTAATTTTACGTAATGTATTTGTTCAAAACAATATTACGTTGTATACTTGATTCGATTTATCAACCCGTGTGTAGAACTAATCCTATTTCAGCAATTTTATGTGGACAGAGATAGACTAATTTCCACTAGAATCTATAAAATACGCCATTTTATAACTTTAATTTCATGGCGTCATAAGCTAGGGTTTTTTTCTTTGTTTGTAAAATGGGCGTTTTTTAGAATCCCTTTGATGACTAATAATCAAATTTGAAAGTAAAATGGAAATAGATTGAATATTTGTTCTAATGTTAACCCACGAATCATAAATTCCAGAAAAAAAAACAATACAGATTTTGACGTTTCTTCCGATCAATTTTTTTCGTTCCTCTCCGAGGTTTCAAAATTAAACCTCCAGCATCGCTGTCATGTTCTAGAAGGAAAAGCTATCATGATGCAGTTTAAATCATTATTTGACTCTATTTCTTATTCTATATTTGCATTGAGGGGTACTATTCACTTGTGTGTTGTCTGTACATTCCTAGATAATGCTTCTTCGTGCAGATATACACACGACAAATCTCCTGCACGTGCAACATGACCGGTAACGCGATAATGATCGAACCATACGATTACACGTCTAGAACAGAAATAATAAAATAGGTAATTTATTAACCCGGTTTTCATTCGGAAACAAGTTATCACGACGTTGATTGCATTCCGACTCCAACGTCCTACCGTTTCCAGGTATTACATAATCGTGCATAGTAAAGTTGGAACAGGATGACAGGCCGCAATTTCCGGATCGATTGAATGCTGATTATATTGTCATTAATTTATATATCTGATGATAGCTTGAAAGACAAGGTCGGGGGAGGGTCAAGAAGGGGGATCCGTTCCTCTTTCACTGAGTTGTATTCAATGCATAAATCTCATCATTTTGTGTAGTATCATCCTCGTGACCCTCCCCTGTTAAATCCAGTTTATTGCGCACTTCCGGTTTCCAAAGTAAAATCTCAGATTGACAACACGCAGTATAGGTAGTAGGTGGACTTACAATGTCCCGATGAATTGCATGTTGTGTTCTAATACTACAGGGAAGCACTTTATACATGTATTTATTTATTTCAAAATAATATTATCCATTTCTACGTGCACGGAAACTTAGCACCGAATTCTTGCTTCGTAAAAAAATATTAAACGAAGTTATATACACACGTACGTAGTAAACACACTATTAAAAATTGTAACTTTATATCATATCGTTGCTGTCATTAATTATTGTGTATCGTTTTGATGTGTCATCAGGTTTTGTGTACCGTTCAGATGTGTCATCAGGTTTTGTGTACCGTTCAGATGTGTCATCAGGGTTTGTGTACCGTTCAGATGTGTCATCAGGTTTTGTGTACCGTTCAGATGTGTCATCAAGTTTTGTGTAACGCCATGTGCTTTAGTTCACTATAGAAATATTTTTTTGCTTAAAAATAGAAAACAAATAAAAGAAATCAAAATAAAAAAATTCAGTTCACTTGTTATATTACTAGTACTGCATTGTTCGTGACTTTTTGAAATCCGGAATATCGAACGTTTTCTTCGTTAGAATAAAAAGCAAGGATTTGTTTTCATATTCCATTAAACTTGTGTATCAAAAAAGTACCTGCCGATATGCATGCACGCACTCACGCACACATATAAATAATTGTACTTTAACGAATATACAACTTCAGAGGCACACATAACAAACCCATACATAGCAAAGATAGATCTGGATGAGTTAAACATAGCATTAGCTCTCGAGTTTTACATCAGCCTGATAATCCCGGACTAACATGACACTACCTTGAACTTTTGACCTCCTATATATGACCCGGAACTGATTTCTGTGATCATCAATAAGGATAGTTACGATGTAGATTCTGCTATACAATCCGGAGACAACTACGAAGAACAGGACATCGATGACGACAGAGTTTTCATTTCGGCTCCGAATGAATCTTGTTTGTCGTTTGTCACATGATGTCTTCAGTGGTCACTACGTCACTTGTACCACAAACAAGACAAGACCGACCTTGGCTAACGCAATGCCCATACAAAGCCCGATGCCATGACAAAATCAAACTTTGAATCCGGTCATAGTCACTATGACGATTTGAGTCAATGCTGATGTAATAATCAACGAGTCGTCACAGGGCAGACAGGGTCACTTCCACTCTTCATTTGTGAGGCAGACGACAAAGCACTAACACCCTTTAGTAACTGTGGTAATTTTAACGCGTTGACATATGGCAGGCGTCCTCTTGACACTTTAACACGACAGGGATATGATTACTTCGCCATTTGAATGTGAAAAAGATATGATTTGACACTCTGGCTCGACTTGGTCAATAAGAAGCTTCGTTACTAGACAGAAATGGCCACTGCGACGCTTTGGTACGAGATGGACATAATCACAACGGCGTTTTAATCGAGACAGTCATGGTCACTATGACGCTTTATAACAAGATATATATACGTAACGAGAAAGACGGTCACTTAGGCGTTCCGTTTCAAGACATTTTCATGAATTCGATGTTTCATTAAAAGGTAGGATTGTTCTTTAGTTCTCGTGATGCTTGGTCGCTCTAACTAAAGTCTCATTGATATCAAATGGTTATAAACAGGGGTTGCCTGTTCGGGTTAACACATTTTTGTCTTCTTGTCAAAAAACACTCAATTTAACACAAAAAAATAAAGATCCATGGAGTGAGCTAGGTTATATCTCTAGACGTCGGTTTATGCCGGTATTTATGTGTTAAATATTTTGCATGAAATTTTTATTTTGTCTGAGTTGAGAATATTTTATCAGACTTCAAGGTCGGATGGACGCTTAATCTAAATATATACATAGTAAAACACATCATACATATGCATATATTTGTTTTTTTTAAGGTTTTCGTCGCGTAAAAGATATCAATTTGAACAGCGGAAGATGTGTCCTGTGTAGTTTATCGCTATAGGAATAGGAATTAAACAGGTATGCAATATTTGTAACGAAAACAAAAGAATCCAATAACGATATTAAGTATTCAAAGATAATGAAAATACACAGGAACAACCGACAATTAATGCTGCATGGCGCCTTTAAATTATATTTTGTGAGACGTCTGCCCTGAAACACGGTAGAACAACCTCGTACAAATGAATATGGATCAGTAAGAGAATATATTACAGAGAGCAAATTTAGAACGTATCAAAGGTAGGTAGCCAACAGAATTGGACACAGAGACAGCGCTTCAGTAGCGTAAGTGCTCCATTGCCTGGATTAAAGGAAGATTCTGCACGATCGGGATTTCGCATGCATAGATGCTGAAGGATATTAAACTTGATGTACAATGTAACCACAAATTAATGGTTTCCGATTCATAATTTAAAGCATAGCCTGGAAATAGCAACATTATTGCCAAGAAAAAAACCATATGCTTTTGAAATATTTTGATTTAACAACAGTATTCGTGAATTATGTATTTTTGTAACGGGGACTCAACTAGTTTAATTTCATTCATATTGAAATTGAAAACCCATTCAAAATATACTTTATAATAAAAACAGATATGCAAATTTCATGTATCAAATATGTTGATTAAGGTATGGTTTGGAGGGCATTTAAAACATTCTTCAGGCTCATATTTTGCGATTATTTAAAATTTCATTAATATTACAATAGTACTGAGGGTACGTCACGCGTTTTACTGACCAACTAATCATCATATTTACGGGGTCTTTTATACATTTTTCGCTTATTTAAAAATAAATCATCTAAATCGCGAAAATAAAGAGACAATGAAAATGAATTTCAAAGAGAAAGTTCGTTGAACAACTTCCATGTGAGAAATTATTTTGCTCTAAGCATCTATTTAAAACGATGGGATTTGTAGCATCGAAAAAAGCAAGAGCGCATGGAACTACAGTAGATAACTGAGGTAAGACGGAAATAGGTTTGGTGCAAGACAGAACTTTTCATCGAGATGGTCTACATTTAAATGTACTGGTAGTCAATTCTACATGTCTATAGCTAGGCTCTGTCAACAGTTTACATGCATCACAGTGTAACGCCATGCAGTGTACGTGCACATTCATCAGTGATGAATCCAAATTGTATAAGAACGATAAGGATTAAACAGAGGTACCTTTGAAAGATTTAGGAAAGGGAGGGGGTGTTTTCTTCTGAAATAATTATATGTATTGAATTGTTTCTTTCGGTTATGTCAATAAATATAATGGTTTAATTAATTTACAAAATAAAATAACATCTATAAATTTTAGAATGCGATTGCCGTACATTTCGAAATTAACAAGTTGTATAACATAACAACAAAAGAGACAGCAAATTGAATTATTTCAGAGAAACGTGGATGATTAACATAACACAATGGTAGTCTTACTTCTTGTAACGCTATGACGTTGTTCCTTTTTGTCCAATATACGTTCTACATAAACAACACGAAACAACCAAACAAACAATAAACAACATACAAAAATAATTATAAACAACAAACAACAAACACGTTCTACTCTATACTACAATTAGTTTGAGTCAATGTGCTTTTAAAGGTATATTATTTCATAAATTTTCAATATTCCAAATATTTATTCTATTCACACAAAACACAGTGAAGTGATTTAGTGGCATTGGCGTGACAAATCAAATCATAGTGCGATAAAATCACGTGGTTTACAGCTTGTACGCCACAAACATTTAATACATACACCAAAAATAATTTTGTGTTTCAGAAAACTAAAGGAATGTTATAAACTAAGACAACACAAAAACAAAATATACAGTATGGTTTGGTAAGTAAGTTTGATGGAAAGAGTAAGTTTACCTCAAATAAAAAATATATATCGAAGACCATCATAACAAATTTGTGGCGATACTATGTGTGTGGATGCAATGAATATAAATCACTAAAAATGAATGAGTGCAAAACTGTAAAAGTGAAATATAATTTTTTAAAACTCAAAACAAAATAGCCATATTTTGAAGAAGGTTAAAGAGTCAATAGGGGATAATTTTCTTATGACGTCATTGAATTGTGATGTCATATTGCATTCTTTTTCAAAAAAATTATGTCTGATGATCACCATTTTTTTCGAAACGTTTCATATTGGTATATAAATAAAAAGACATGCAATGGCTTTGCTTATTCACAGATCAATGTGATTAAAAAGATACAATCGACACCGTAGTTGGCTTTCTCTATCAGAGTTGTCGTTCCTTAACAGTCACAATGCAATAACATCTTATTGGGGTGCCGCAATGCACTCTGGGAGAGATTGAGTTTAGCTAACACTTTAAGGCCTAGCGGCCATCTTCATGTGATTGTTTTAATGACTTGGTGAAGACATTATGACGTATTCAATAGAACAGTAGGAGCGATAAGTTCAATAATACTTATAAGGTATCACGGCACTAAACAAAAACACTCGAATATGGCCCTAACAGCTTTACAAACAAATTCTCTTTGCAAAGTCTTTTTGTAATGTCGGTATCTGTCATCCTAAAAACATTAACTAACGTGTTGATTTTACCCTTTAAATTATCTTTCCGAAGCACAACGCATTTACTAGTTAAACAAACATGTATATATATATAGCAACAGAATGTAGTATACAATGCGCACGTTTATTTATATATATATAAAGATACTTACCTTCTGGGCTGAGGTCTAGGTTAGCTAGATAAAAAACTCCTGACCGGTAAACAATCTCTTGACATATAATGGCAAAACTATAGACATCCCCCTTCTGTGTACCCTCTGGGGGTCTGTGGTGCATGCGCAATAGCTCTGGTGCCGTCCACAGTTGTGCTGCAGCAAGAATATTTCAAATTATTATTTTTTTTCAACATTCTAATTTCACATGGATTTACATATATATTCTTTTAACTTATAAATGTAAAGTATTTGAGCAGAAATGATAAAGCTTTTAACTTGTGCTTAATTCGTAAGGGTTCATAACTTTGAATAAAAACTTTATTTATTCTAAAACAATTGCGAAACAAGTTATTTCGACTTAAACTAATCACTCTTGTTGGTCTGGATGCAAGCGTGCGAGGGGTCTTACTGTGGGAGGAAACAGAATTACCCGGGGGAAATCCTTATGGTCGGGCAGATGACCCCTTACTAATTAGGTCCGTTCTGGAAAATAAACCTGGACGGCATGTCGTATTAAGGCGAAAGATTGCATTCAAAAACATCAAAAATAGGATTTCATTCCCGCTTTTTTATTGTTTTATTATAAATGTTTGTTCGTATAAAAAACGGCAAAATAGAACTGGTCACCACAAAAAGACAACGGTAATCTATCCTTTATATAACAGAACGGTGGATGGCCCTAATGACCATTGATGTGTTGACGGGTCGTTAAGATCGTAATAATAAAGTTGACAGAATAAATGCAAGTATGAATTGAAACGAACTGCGATTTTGAAATCATTCATGACAAAAGACAAAAAAAAATCGAAAGTAACAAAACCACAAAGGTAGATAACTGCGTTTGATGTTATTGTGAGTTTGCCACAGTGCTATGTTAGTAGTAACGGCGGGTTTGTCTGTTGTGTAAAGTAATATAATTTTGTAATTATAAACCAATGAATGCACTCCTCTGGTGCCATCGCCCTATAACACGACTAAAATCTCGGTACAGCTAACAAGATTCCAATGATATCTACATCATCCTAATCAGGAGCGTAGATTTGTCTTCATCAAAACTGCTAAATTTTGACAAATCGTCACAATGTCGAGTCAGAAATGTGCTTATATAGATATATTACTAGATCAGTTCTACAAACATCAGAGGACAAAGTTGAAAATTAATTAATGAAATGTGTTATCATACATCGACCTTAAGGTGAAAATACTAATGTTTTACCCATAGAGCTATCATGGTTTTCATAAAGTGGAATGAGATTGATTCTTACAAGCGCGATTGTGATCCAGATTTTAATAAAGGTGTTTCCATGTTAATGTTATGTAATCATTTGTTTTTATCGTGTGTTTCTCTTATTCTTCGTAAATAAGTCACGTGTTGATGACGTCATTGGATTGTATTTGTAGTGGAAAACGTTAAATTTGAGGGTTTTCTTATTTTTAGATACACAAGTTATATGATAAATAGAATCTAACATTCTTGTCGATGCAAAATAAACTATTTCATAAAGGATCATATTTCGGGTGGTGTAGTGGCAATGCACACGCCTTTCACCAAGCCGTCCGGGGTTCGATTCCCGGAACGGACGTGAAAAGGTCTGAGGTCACCTGCCCATCGAGTGGGTTTTCCAACGTGTAATCTAGTTTCCTCCAAAAGTTAGATCCCCTTTCGTGCTTCCGTCCGGGACAAAAGTAATTAATATTAGTTGGATAAACTTTTTTCGGAATTGTTGTAATTCATTAAAAAAAAAAGAAAAGAAATCATATTACATCGACTTTCATGCGTAATACTTGTTTATATTTACTTCTGTAGTAGGCGTACATGCCCTCTTCCACGTCATGTGAAGGGCCCCGGAGAGCATGTAGACCGAAGTCTGTTATCTTCAATACGAACCGGCCGTCAACTACACAATTGGTGCTCTTAAGGTTGCCATGACTACGTATGTCACTGCTAAATAGATACGTCATACCCTGATAAAAGAAAATGAAAGATCACTGGATATCGTCTTGAATTAATAAAATAAAGTTACAATCATCCATTTCAGTAATTTACAAGTACAGGTACATATTTTTTTCAATAAACCATTGATCTGTGTTATGAGTAAATATTTGCTGTTATGAGTCTTTCACATTTTTGTTCTGATCAAGTCATTTCTATTTCGCTACAGATTGAAAAGATCAATGTTCAGATGACAAGTACACTCAAGTATTGTAAGTAAATAGCTGTGATAAAAAGAAAAACAGATACAAAACAAACAAACAAATATCTTCACCGCAATTCCGATATCAAAATATTCAAATCTAAAAAAGATTTAAAGAAAAGTTTTTAAATTCATGTTGTCGTAAAACAACGACTTCACCGAAACACTGACACGTAATCGTAAATCAAAGTGAAGTAAACAAGAGAGCAACGTGCTCTTAAGTCCATTCAAACTCCTTAGTAATTCAAAACTGAGTCTTTCTTGGTTTTGAAAAGAAACCTCGGCTAAAATCAAAGTGGCGGTGATTTTAATTCTTATATTTAATCTGAAAATTAGAAGACATGATTTATAAAGGGAATGAAAAGAATGATATCAATTAATGGGTTTGTTGAGCACGGCTCGTTAGTGGAAGATACAATGTTAGTGACGCCATGAAGCTTTGGGAGCTTCGCCTCACTACAAATTTCTTTGAAATTCTTGTTGTATTCTGTAGAAAGCAAATCCTTCGTGACTTATGAGATTGCGGTCTGTGTGTTACCGAAGGCTTTGATAAATCAGTCAGTCTCTTTGATCCGATCGGGAGGTATCTAGGTCCCTAGTTAATATCGATACAAGGCGAGTTATCAAGTACGAGTTTCGCTGAACCAAGGTTCTAACCAAAGCGATGCCATTTTAGTTAACTTACTACATGTGGTGAAAATACTACTAACACTATATCTTTGAGATTTAGTTTTAATTTTAAACGAATATTTGTTTTTGATATAACATTTGACTTGATAATGGTTATACAGAGGTATTAAGCCTATGAGTTATCTCTACTCTGTGAATATTTACGACACTTTTAGCAGTAAACGTTATTGGTAATCAAGCTAGCTATTGTGTATGCTAGCCCTCCGACCATCTCTCTACACCATGCCTGGCTCTGCCGTTGCGTGTGCTTTAACTGTATTTAAAGAAGGTTATGTAACAAACGGAGCATATTAGTAACTATGGAAGGGATAAATGTATTATATAGTGCTTTTGTGTACCAATCAGAGAACTGAAGATGTTTCCTCTGTAATTTGATAGACGGTTCGACCAAGACATGTTAGCAAATTTACTTCATGAAGTCTCCCACGGCAAATTCCTTGGAAATGCCGATAGAATTAGGCGCAAAATTAAGGTTTTTGTCCGCGATCGATTTTTTTATCATTTCTTGTACTTTGTAAGAAAACTAAGTTAGAATCATTTGCTACGAGTCACGCTAACCCGTACGTAAAAATCAGAAATCCAAAATGATAATCGATATTTATTATATAATACTTACCATAACCTTTATTGGAAAAGTGCACCTATACCTCGGCCGAATTGATTTTTTTTTTTTTTTTTTAGACTCGTCCACTTAAGTTTCGCCCTTTTGGCTGTTACCATCAATGGAACAATTTCAAAGGACGAAATGACCAAATTAAAAGATTTCGTCTTTCGTTTTATTGATGTTTCTTGTTTTGTTTCGTTTCGTTTCCTTTTGTGTCTCATCTGCTACTCTCCTGTCTTGTTGCTATTGTAGCAAGCTTTTACTATTGGCTTTTAGTCTACACTCTTATTTTCTGACTTTTCAGATCGTTAAATTTTGTCTCGTGTCTAGATGAATAACAGGTGATTTGAATAATTAGATCTATTTCATATTTCCTATCCTAAATCTGAATTTTTAATTGGATCTTTTTTTTTCGCAATAAGCATTGAAGGATGTTTTCTAGATACTAGTTTCGTGCAAAGTAGCCTTTTCATGCAAAGGGAGATTACTCGTTCAAATCAAACATTTTCAGGTCTGTAATTTCAACAATTTTAAAATTGGTTGACTTAACATTACTATCAAATTATTGCAGTATTCAAAGATTGTCATAGGTGATGCTTATATCTATCAACCATAATCATGATTGCTTGAAAATGCCAAGAACGTATTGCATGAAATTTAATAAGAAAACAGATCTGGCACGCAATGTCTTTTATGAGCGAGGATATTTTACGACAAATTACGTAAACTCAATATTTGAAAGGAGCAGATTTTTTAAAATTAATATTTTTGAAGAAATACACTTACCCGCAATATATCTTGCATCAAGGAATACCTAAACATCCAGTCCAATTTAATTTGTTCATTTTCTAAAACGTCCTATAAATAGAACAAAATTATATTTTAAATTTGGACTTCAAAAAGAATGTAAACACAAACATCACTATAGTATGTAAGTATATACACCCCTATACTATGTAAGTATATACACCCCTATACTATGTATATACACCCCTATACTATGTATATACACCCCTATACTATGTAAGTATATACACCCCTATACAATGTATATACACCCCTATACTATGTAAGTATAAACACCCCTATACTATGTAAGTATATACACCCCTATACTATGTAAGTATATACACCCCTATACTATGTAAGTATATACACCCCTATACTATGTAAGTATATACACCCCTATACTATGTATATACACCCCTATACCATGTAAGTATATACACCCCTATACTATGTAAGTATATACACCCCTATACCATGTATATACACCCCTATACTATGTAAGTATATACACCTCTATACTATGTAAGTATATACACCCCTATACTATGTAAGTATATACACCCCTATACTATGTAAGTATATACACCCCTATACTATGTAAGTATATACACCCCTATACTATGTATATACACCCCTATACTATGTAAGTATATACACCCCTATACTATGTAAGTATATACACCCCTATACTATGTAAGTATATACACCCCTATACTATGTAAGTATATACACCCTATGCTATGTAAGTATATACACCCCTATACTATGGAAGTATATACACCCCTATACTATGTATATACACCCATATACTATGTATATACACCCCTATACTATGTAAGTATATACACCCCTATACTATGTATATACACCCCTATACTATGTAAGTATAAACACCCCTATACTATGTAAGTATATACACCCCCAACAATGTAAGTATATACACCCCCAACAATGTAAGTATATACACCCCTATACTATGTAAGTATATACACCCCTATGCTATGTAAGTATATATACCCCTATACTATGTAAGTATATATACCCCTATACTATGTAAGTATATACACCCCTATACTACGTATATACACCCCTATACTATGTAAAATGTTCAAATGTCAATATTGGCTACTTTTGAAACGAAAGCATATTCACAAGATATTCCATACATCCTATAATAGGTCAAGTTCATGTTCACAACATAATACCATCACTAAAGGCATATACCTTATACGTGTCCTCAGTCAAGATCAGATAATAAGATTAAATTTGGATTCGGAGTTTGTGCACAAATCACTTGTTCAAAACCAGATGTAACACCAGCAAAGAATTCGACAGTTCGCGATCTAGTTTAGACAATCAAGAATAGAAAATTTCGCTTTTAAAAAACTTGCAAAGAAGACATTTCATGACCCGATGATACTCAGCAGTAATACACATGATTCTACCTTACCTGTAGACTACCCTTTTGGCAATATTCCGTTAGGATACACATGTTTGGCGGGTCTATACAAGCTCCGAGAAAACGAACGATATGGTCATTCTGAAGGTCTTTTATCTACAACATCAAACAATTTCATAATGAAGTGAGTGTTAACAAACATTGAGATTGATTAAGATGTTCTTAAAAAAATTCTTCCTTCCTCCCTCTCTCACTCCCCCCCTCCCCCCTCTCTCTCTCTCTCCCTCTCTCTCTCCCCTCTCTCTTACTCTCCCTCTCTCTCTCCCTCTCTTTCTCTCTCCCTTCCCCCTCTCTCTCTCACACACTCTCTCTCCCTCTCTCTCTCTCTCTCTCTCTCTCTCTCTCTCTCTCTCTCTCTCTCTCTCTCTCTCTCTCGCGCGCGCACGCTCTCTCTCTCTTTCTTCTTCCTTCTTAATTTCTTTCTTTTATCAAGCTATATCGTAAATAAGTTGTACTGTGTTGATAATGTCTTCATTTTCATTTTATCTGTACATTGACGTGTTCGACACATCGGGTCATAGAAAGGTCCTCAGATGATAGGGCCATTTACAGATATTTGTATAGTGCGTTACACTATAATGTCAAATCCTGAACACACTAGTGTCACAAAGAACATTCTCATCTTCTCGTTTCATTCTAATTTCTCATTAATTTACCTCTATTCGCTTTTGTAACTGTCTGAATTGCCTTGATATGTAACCAATTCATATACCATTTTACTTAAGCATATAAATGTGACTCTCAAACTCTTCTCTTATCAATGCTTTGTTATTTATGTAAAGATCAACCCGAGGTAATTACGTCATCTAGTGTAAAACGTTAAGGCGGTATGGTTCACTAACTTTTATGATTCAGTAATAATTTACCAGTCTCAGTGTAAATAACGACAATGATGCGCTCCGTTTTATATATCTGCTTTGGAGAGTCATCCCAAAGTCTAATTACTGAATTTACGGATCCTACGTATTTTGATTTCCATCTCTACATTATATATACATTGTATACCACCATATAAGGACATGCTTACCTCTCTATACGTTTAGTTTACTTACCTATGATAACAATGATTCTATCAATAACAGTATTCTTAGTTACGTTTAAATCCCGCCATCAACGCATAACACTAATTAAGTAATAATTCCAATTAAAAATTAAATGAAACTCATATGTAATATAAAAAGTTAAAGAAAATGAATTGAAATGGCGGAGAAATCTAAACGGATCAAGAGCATTAATGAATCGGATGTTTACCGATATTTGGATCACTTACCCGTTTGACTTCTATGAGTAAAGGCTTGTTGACGGTTAGACTTGTTCCGTGAATATTTTTGATGGCTACAATGGCGCCCTAGAAAGTTAAAAAAGATAATTATGTTAATAAGTGCTATTAAATGAATGTCACACTCGAAAATTTTGCCGAGAATGTGTCACATATTTCGATAAAAAATATAGCGATGTAACAATAAACTTTATATCTATAATTACTGTATATAATTATCTAACGTCGATCAGTTAATATAAATATATATTGTAAGTAATTTATATTTATGTATTTCTTCATAACAAGTACGAAAAACAATTATTGTCAATCAATTTTTATGCCAAAATCTACGTTAGGGAATACTTTGAAAAGAAAATGGCGGCGAAACTTATATTGTAGAAATCGCGTCAGTTTATTACCGTATATTACAGTATATCATCACCTACATGTGATGATTCTTTTTATCTACACTTAACGAAACGTATTTATCATAAACTTCATCTTGTAACGATACAGAGTTTGATTTCGCAGAGCTTCAACTTCACTGATATCCTGGGTTGGGCTAGTTCGCGGAGAATACATTCTGCGCAGGTCTTAACATTGTTATCATATGTTTTCTGATAACTGGATTCACTATTTAATGCTTTTGGCAATATATATATAATATATTTAGCCTATATTGAAAGATCGTGAAAGTAGTAAAATTAAGTCTTTCGCAAATACTGTCGGATTTATTTAAAATAAACTGGCACAGTAAATATCTGTCAGTCGTCTATCTTCGAACACTTTCTTAGAAAAATTAATTAAATAGTTCTTATATCACAACCAGTTCGGAAATTATTTTTCTCATTTCCTAACTGAATGTGGTACTTCTGTTATCGGTAGCCTGTTTGTGACAAAGTAATAAAAAAATAAACATTGTGCTGTAAACACAAACACACATTACCTTGTAATAGCCTGTTTTTGTAAACAGTTGTCGTTGTCCTACGTCACTGAGATGGACGGCTATCGTATCCACGGAACAGGTACTGCTAACAAGGGACATTTTCTGTACAAACAGAAACAGTATAACATAGATTTAAAGATAACAGAAACGTACGTCATAACTTCCTCGGATTTTTGTCTTTTTTTTAAAAATTAATTTTTAACTTCAAAATATTTCTTTTGATTTTCCGACTCGTGTATACATGTTGCGGAAACAAATATGGACAGTTTTTCACAATGTGGATTGATGGTGTAAAACTGTTACCAGAGAATTAAAAAAAAACTATTCTGACGTTCAAACGCAATTGTACAGTACATGGTATACAAACAATGGAAAGAGGAACTGGTGTTGTAATCAAATGATACGGTTCATTGGTGCTGACAAAATCAATTGATTAAAAAAAAAAAACAGGGGGAAATGTTTACGTTTGAATAAAAAGGGTCATGTTTCTTTGAATGCAATATTTGCCTAACCCTAGTCTGTTCTGTTTTTTTTACAGTAATATCAATGACGTCATAATATTCTTTGTACCCCAATATCGATGACGTCACAATACTTTTTGCATGACAATGCTGATGACGTCAAAATTATAGTAAAATGTGAAAATTGTTATAACTTCATGAGGATATCAGTATATAATCATTTGACTTTGAACAACCCGAGGATACAAATAATGTGCGTGTTTCGATGATCCTTGTTGATCAAAATGTATAAATATCACGAATGCCAAAACCGAAACACATTAAACACGGAATGTAATAATGCCAGTAACCTTCGCAATAGATGGGGGGGGGGGCAGATTAAACTTAAAAAATAATGACTAAAAATAAAGACAAGAGTGAATATGTAGATTCACATGTTGACTCTAACCAGACAAATAGGACAAGAAATATCCGTTTTACAATTCCTTCTGTGTGGATTGAAACAGCGTTTCCTGGTGGTGAGAACACTCAAGAGCGACAACTCTTGAAAATATCACAACCGACACAGTTATATAATAAACGCTGTGGTTTCATTATACTAATTTTCTAGTATAAATAGGGTGAGCTTTACGTCCTAATTAATCAGATCCCTAAACAGCCCCATTCATTGTTGATTGTCAATAATCTTGTATATTCTTAATCGTTATACCAGGTGTACATTGTATTGATACGGAGGAGGTCTACCAGTGTTGTAGTTTCTGTGTTGAAGAATACATTGACGACATAATGGAAATGTGACAGTAAAATAAAGATCCTAAGGGAAAAATGAAAATAAAAACAAAATAAAAAAAAAAAAAAAATACCCGCACACACATACACTCAATCAGGATTACCTTGAAGAATCTCCTTACAGGTTCTTGACTATTTTGTTTAAAACAACAAAAACACGATGAATAGTACAGTGTAAAGGTTTATTGTTATGGTACATCGAGAAGAAAAACAAACATTAACACCATTAAAAAATCAAAACTATGTATAACACTCATTTGTTCAATGCACGTGAGCTGTTCAAAGGAGAACGTGTTTCCTTAGGGATAGCTAAAAAAATTGATAATGGGATATTTTCAACTATTAAAAAATATTGACGATTTAAAAAAAAATAACGTTTGAATATACCATAATGAATTATTTACCGAGATTTGTTTTCAGTTTTGTGATTTCATCATATAACAAAGTTGTAGTAATTGTCAGAATCTATTTTATAAAATCACTATTTAATACAAATTAAAGTAAAAATGTGGAAAAAAAAGTACGATCTATTTAATTTCCCGGATAACGAAAGCATGTTCGGTTAAATGTTTTGTTTCTATTACGGCTGGATTATACGAGAATAATATTCAATATGTATCAGTCGTATTTATGTTAACCAAACACGTGATTCAGAATAAGTTTCTTAAGTGGAATTCCCTGATAACCTTAACATTTATCCCTTGTGTAAATGGTATCTTGTAAAAGACTTGCTTCAAAGTTTACATTTTGTTAAAGTAGGAAATGTATTTACATGAAAGAAATATTGATTTGTTTTTCGTAGTTATCGTGTGGGAACAATAACCCAAACATACAAAGCTAAAAAAAATATTTAAATTTATACAAAATACGTCATGATTAACCAACTTCATTTGAATTAAAGCAAGTTATTGACTGATTTTTTCCCGACGTTATCATGTAGAAATCTTTAAACCATACACAAAATTTAAAGATAATTATCTTTCACTTTAATAAAGAAAAAAAAAAGAATTAATTTGAAAAAAGGGAATAACGGTAGCTGAGTTTATCTTTTAAAATGCAACAGAACACATTATCTACCTATACTGCTAAGACTATTGTACGTGTAGTACGTTTGTCGTAATCATAACGAATTTCGTTCTAAGTTTCCCTTATTAAAACACCAATAACTAGTATATATTTGAACCCCATTTCTCCCCCACCCGCACCACCACCCCCACCCCCCCCCCCCCCCCCCCCCCCCCCCCCCCCCCCCCCCCCCCCCCCCCCCCCCCCCACCCCCCACCCCCACCCCCATCCCTAAACCCCTCCCCTTCAGAATAGTATTAGAGTGTCGACGTTAATACAATTTATAGTGAGATTGATAATTTGATGCTAAATCTTGTTCAATTTACTTTTTTTTCACAGATGTCATCAGACAGACGGTAAAACTGGCTACGTCAAATGTAATGGAAAAAACGTCCTTTGTCAAGTGCCGGAACGACATGGATTTACTCAGTTAATCATACAAAATAAGCAAACGGAAGATACAAAATAACAAACCGGTAACGAAAAGACATTAAATTGTTTTCTCATATAATTTAAATCCCCATCTTTGCCATTTAAACAATTATCAAGTGACAAAACCATGTGCTTTACAGAAATATCCGTTCTCTGCTCATGTCCGACATACTTCGTCTGATTTAATGAGGAATGACTTTTCTAAGATAAAAAAGTTATAATCATATCAAAACGCCATCACATCTGATAAGAAGATAAAATAACACGTTTGTAATTTATCTGACTTGACAAGCAGTCTATCTGATTAAACACCGAAATTTTCTCCGTCACAAGATTTTCATTAAAACACATTCATACAAACATCCTTTAAGGCTTAAAATCTCTCGACTGCGCACACATTATCGTTACAAACAACAATTTTGAAATGGACACGTCACAATTGGCGTCGTTAGTTACCGCACCTTATACAAATGTACAAAGAAATCTCAATCAATCGCGCGTAAAAAAATCGGATAAAGAAATTCTTTTTAATGAACGGTTTAACAGAAATGTGGAATCTAAAATTTCAATAAATCGAACCATTGATTTATCGATTTGGTTCAAAGTTGAATACGAAAATCGACTCTAAAAAGTATTATATTAAGGCTTAAAACAAAAACACATCTAAATTCCAAACATTCGCTTACAATCCAAAGCATCGAAATAAATATCGGACAAATGATCCGGATTTTTATGTTTGATTAAATCTTATTTTACGCTAGATAACAAGTACAAATATATTCTAGTCTATAGTTATAATTGATTGTTTTCATTTTGCGAATGTTGGAAAAAGATAAACACAGTATATTGAAAAACAATTTAAAACGTTAGATATTATCATTGTCGCACTGTTACTAAGGAAACGCGTTTAAATTCCGCCATAAACACAGACTTCCTATATACAAGGGGAGGTAATTCAAGATAAGTTATCAACACGATGAAAGTTTGATCTATGTGAAATAGTGATTTATTTAACAAATTGTATTCGCTCTCAAACTCAGATTTTAATAAAATGTATGAATTATTTTATATCAATTAACATTCATATGATATTAAAACATGAAAATATCTAATACACAAATATATGAATTCGTATGTTTTTTTTATTATTTATAAAAAAAATCAGTTTATTAATAAAACATCAATGAAATATCGTTATGAGAACCAAAATCTGAAAATTATTATCCATATTTAATATTAGTAATGAATTAAGAGTCAACAATGAATAAAAATATTCGTGTTACAAAGTAGACACACGGTTATATTGATAAAAAAGTGTCACAAATTAATTGGCGTAAACATTAATAAAACATTGATTTTAAATTCAAAAACATTTTAACAGTTAATACTTTAACAATTCACTGGCAACAATAATGACAAACATTTTAATGTCTTAAAAGGAAACGTCACAAATGTAGGACGTAACGATATACAATACATCAAATAAAAAATGTTCACAAAACGAAAAAAAAAAAAAAAGACTAAAAGTAAATGTGTTATCGTTTGGACGAATAAAATATTCTAGCTAAATAATATACACAAAATGGACACAGGTAATAAAAATAGATTAAAACCGGTTCCTATCACATCGGACAATGTAGACAAAAAATTACAAACATAACAACAGAGCCACATGATATAAATTTGTAACAAATGACGTCATACGATTAAAAAACAAATAAGACCTCCACACTAATTTCAAAATCACGTGACATCTTAACATTGTAAACTTGTTAAATGCTAACAAGAAGGTTTAAAAGTTTATTCTTAAAAGATATGAACAAAAAAAAATGCGTTCATATCTTCCCGATAGGATCATTCACGTCTGGATCTCGTCCATTTTGTTTATTATTTATTTCTGTGATACAATGAGAAAGAGAATTTGTTTATTAGTTTTTATCTTAGGAAGTCAGCTGTCTGTTGATAAATGTTATTTCGTCCCCGTTATACGATTCGTTTATTTGATGTAACGTGAATATCAATCAATCATGCATATCTTGTAGTTCAGCGATCGGAACGGGTTTTAAATCAACACAGATATAAGATATAGCAGATAGAACTCACAATTAATCTCGAACTGAAGTCAAAAAGAAGGATAATTATTCAACGAATGAATTCATGATCCGCAAAGGCAGGTTTACAGTTATGATATTAAATTCGCAGACGATTTTTTTAGATCTAAAAATTGTTACATAGAATATATAATTTGCAGCATCGACTCTTAAAGATCGCAAAAATAACAGTATATCGATGATAGTAATAAATTATTTCAAATTTTACAATAACGATTTGTAGACACGTTTAGATGTTTTCAAG